CACTGATTTACTGCTTTTGCCTTGCAGCTGTTACAGTCCATGGTGGCAAAGACAAGGGGGAACACCCAGTTTTCCTCCACTATGTCCACACTAGAGGGAGAAATACATGATAGTAGTTTGGAGGGAAAAGGTTAGGTCCCAGCAGCTGGTCTCCAGTTCTACCCAGAAAGATAGGTAGCCAAGAGAAGAAAGAAGAATGCTGCTTGTTGGCCAATCTCAGCTTCAAATGCAGCTGCTCGTTCTCTCAGTCTCTCAGCAGCTGAAAATGGGCAATGCCCATTGATTTCTCTTTTGCCTCCTAGCTTTGCCAACAAGTGCTAGTTGTGAAATGTGTTAAGGAAAATACTTTATTATTTAACTGAAAATAATTAACAGGGAAAATATTAGACATAACCGTGCCTTCCATTATTACCACACTTAAAGAGTAATTTGTTTCCAACTTTATATATCGATGCAAACATATCTGTACATTTTTTCACATAAGAGGTTTAGACAGGACTAGTGATCATTCTTCAGAAACAAGAACTCTTTATTTTGTTAAAAGGAGCACAGGGACATATGAAGACCAGACAGTTACAACACTCTCTTGAGAAGAACAAGGCATAAGCATTGAAGAAACTAGGAGATAACACAGAAAGGAGCCACCATTTTCTCTCTCAAGCAAAACCTCATCAATGAATATGCGATCACTGATGGGTTCCAACCCATTTTCACACCATTTCGTCGTTCCTTTCATTCCTGAAATGTCTGTGTGCTGTGCTTATCTCCACACTCATAGTGACTATTCACCTGGTCTCAACCACAAGACCTCTTTGTATACTAATATAGTTAGAGGCTAAATACAGCTAGGGAAACCATAGACAAACTTTGCAAATATCTGTCTCCAGTGTCAATCCCAAACCCCAAACAACCATCTTTGTTTAGTGGGCAAGAGAGGGACCACATTGATTTCAGAACCCTCAGAGAGCTGCTTCTCATTATATAGGCAACGTGTGAAGACATATGATTTATATTGTGTATGCCACTACTTTTGTTCAGATTGACTGCATTACTGTTTATGCACCTATTAACAAAGTTACATTATTAAAAAATCTGTTGAATTTTAAACTAAAAATAATTATAAGGCACATGTCTTGCACAATTGAAATTAGACAATCCTTGCCTCTAAGTAAAATGTTTGAGGAGGTTTATATCACACTTACTGAAATAGCTTCTTATTTCTGAAGAGGTTTCCTAGACATTGACCAAAAGCAGAGAAACTGAAAGATGAGTTATTTCTAGAAAACAAGCTTTTTCTATAGCACTACATTTGTGTGTCTGTGTGTGAATTCAGTTGACAACAGTAATGTTTCTTTAATCAAAACAGCATGTATTGAAAAATGAGATGCCATAAAAATAAATATTAGAACAGTTGATTTTTATCAAACACTTATGCAAAGGTAAAATACTTTTGCACACTGTAAATTTCAATACAATATACATTACATTGATTAGATTACAGCTTACGAAAGGTGAAAGAAATACAAAGAATTGCTTCTAACACACATACTCCTGATGTGTTGATAACTTTATCTGCGTTGTCCATTTCATTTGCTTGAAGTTTCGGTGCATCCTTTAGCAAAATAAGCAGGTCTCGCTCCATTGTTAGCACAGCGTATTTTGTAAATGAAATAATAAACATATAAAAATTACTTTAATATTTGCCTCAAGGGGGAGCTTACAGTTCATCTTGCAGATCCTTTGTGATTTCAAGCCATTCCAAGCTAATGTTCTGATGCCATTCCTTATACAGATTCAGAATTACAAAATTCTGGAACCAAGTCAATGAGTTATTATACTTCCATGCCACTTTCTTTTCTGCTGCTCTTTGAAATCCACAGCGTGGACTGGTTTGGACTAGTTTTTGTTCTTCCTTTACTGAAAAACATAAGAAAAAGTAAGTTTAGTGCCTAAGACTTCTTATTAAACTAAGCATGTCTTGGTCCAAAGGGAGATATCTCAGACAGTTCTTTATGAAAGACTCCTCCTCCTCTTATCCGTATATTTTCCCATTTCCAAAAACTTCTAGATTATTCAAATATGTGAAGATGGCAGACAGTTCTTGTGAATGATAGAGAAAACAAAACATATCTTTTCCTGTTTGACATTTCCTAATTTAGAGTTCATTTTTGTTGTTGTTGTTGTTTTTATTGTTGTTGTTGTTTTAATTTTTTATTTCCATAGGTTATGGGGGAACAGGTGGTGTTTAGTTACATGAGTAAGTTCTTTAGTGGTGATTTGTGAAATTTTGGTGCACCCATCACTTGAGTAGTATATACTGTACCCAATTTGTATTCTTTTATCCCTCACCCCTTTCCCACCCTTTCCCCCTGTGTCCCCAAAGTCCACTGTGTCATTATGTCTTTGCATCATCACAGCTTAGCTCCCACTTATGAGTGAGAACATACGATGTTTACTTTTCCATTCCTGTGTTACTTCACTTAGAATAATAGTCTCCAATATTACCCAAGTCGCTATGAATGCCGTTAATTCATTCCTTTGTATAGCTGAGTAGTATTCCATCATATATATATACCACAGATTCTTTATCTATTCACTGATTGATGGGCATTTGGGTTGGTTCCACACATACAAACATGTGCCTGACACAATATTAACCATTTCCGTTTTATTCACCAATAAAAACCTTTATTTTCTTTGATCAATTATTTTGGAAATCATCTTGCTCCTTGAGTCTCCTGTCACTAATGTATGCTGAGTTTAATGTCAAATCATCAAAACAATGGTATTATACTATGTGTGCAGATGTGCCTATTCCCCTCCTCCCATCAGTTCTCCGGCTCTGCACCTAAGTCACTTGATTTCTGGAAGCTTACTGATGCCTCAGTCTCTGAAACCGCTGTGGTTAAATAGCAGCTTCATGCTTTGGTAACATAACAGTATCTGAGTTCCTCTAGATCTGAGATACAGCTTCACCCTTGTCAGATTTAGCATTCTGGCCCACATTTCCAGCCTGTGCTTAGGGTTCTGCTATCTTCTTTCTTTCCACAACATAATAACTTTTCAGGCACCTGCAGCAGTTCCCTGTTCCTGGGTTTACCTAAGTCATTCTCTCTCTCTCTTTTTTTTTTTTTTTTTTTGAGACAGACCCTCACTCTGTTGCCCAGGCTGGAGTGCAGTGGGGCGATCTCGGCTCACTGCAAGCTCCACCTCGCGGGTTCAAGCGATTCTCCGGCCTCAGCCTCCCAAGTAACTGGGATTATCGGCGCCCACCACTACGCCTGGCTATTTTTTGTATTTTTAGGAGAGATGGGGTTTTGCCATGTTAGCCAGGGTGGTCTCAAACTCCCGACCTCAGGTGATGCACCCAAGTCATTCTCTACTGGATGCCCTGTCAAAAGTAGATTTCTTTGGGCTGGTTTCCTCGGGATAATCTCTTGCCTGGACCAAAAGTGTTTGTCCCAGTTCACTGTGTTGTGCACTTACTTGCTCCCTGACCACCCCAGCCCCAGTTCCCAGCATCTGCCTCAATCTTCACAGACGTCTCCCCATCCCCTCCTCTCCATCTACCAGACATTGCAGAATTCCCTCAAAGAGAAAAAAGAACTATTTCTAAACACACCTGACCATCACCCTTTTAAAATATTACTTAATTCATTTAGATTTAGCTGTTTTGGTTACTAATAAAATATTATGTCCAAATTGTATGGTTTGTAGATTTCCATCCAAATAAGTAAGATTAACACAACTCTATTCTACAATCATCTAACATGTATGGAATATAAGCCAAGAAAATTTATAAAAAGCACAAAAATGTTCTAAATGGTTAAAAATGGTTATTAATGTGACTTTTGTGTAGAATTAGTATTTCATTTAAGAATTACTTAAATTTTTTCTAGGTCTTTTGTTACTTAATGGGTTCTTTAGGGTTTATTTCAGCAAAAGAAGAAGATGAAGTAAGGTCAAAAGAGAAAAATGCATGTTTGCAGGTCCTTTCTGATGGAGGCATTCTCTTGATCAGTTCTTATTTAAACCACTCAGACAAAGATGTCTAGCTTATTCTAGCGAACATGCTCTTACATAAACAGAACAGCTTTTCATTTTTTTTATTTTGATACATATTTATATTTCATTTTTATTTGAAAATGAAATAAATTTTCATTTTATTGAATTTTGTTTCATTTTTATTAAAAAATTGGGACACATGGAAAAACTTCTCTAATTCTAGGGTATGAGTAAGCAGATACAAAAGTCATAATAATCTCCCAGAAATCTTGCTGGTAAAATAGAGGATTTTATTTCAAGATACCTGGCAAAAAGTGACCTGTTTGAACCACTGTATTTTATTTCCTATTCTTAAAAGATCTTTTTGAAATAAAACAGAAACCTGTGACTTGAATTTTGAAAAGTAATACAAAATGAACCCAAAAATATCAAGTCTTACATATAGCTTGATGTCTAGATTGAAAAGTCTAGCATTAATTCTTATATTTTATAACAAAAAACAGTTTAGTAGAGTGTATATGTTGGAAGTTTACAAACATCCAAATTTCAGATTCAGCATGGACACTAGCTATGACTAGGTAACCAAGGCAGACTAGGTAACCCATCTAAGACACCATCTTCTCAACTGAGAAATACAAACAGAAGGGTAACTGCTTAATAAGTCTTGTGAGGATTAAATGATATATTATATTAATCCTATCCTCAATGTATATCTTATTAGATTGTATAGGATTGTATGTATAGGATTTAAGGAAAATTAAAATATAATTAACTTTATACTAATAGCTTTAAAACATTACTGAAGACCTATTTAAAGTTTTTCAAATTGTCTCTACATATATGAGTTATTTACCTTTTATGCAGCATCTGGAAACAACAGGTTCCAAAAGCAACCAGTATCAGTAACAGCAGGGGTATTGTTGGTATAACAACATAAATTAGATTGGGAATTATACCTACAAAATAAAACAGTCTTCATGTGAAAAGATAGTTGAGGAAGAATTCTAATGCAAAAATATGTAAGAATGTTTCAAAAAATTAAGGTGAAATAGAATTTTCAATAAATTG